GATAGTGAATTCATGAGGATTTTATTTTTAATAAACTAATGGAAAATAATTGTGTGCTTCTGGATTGATTCTAAAAAAGGCATAATAGAGTAAATATGGCTTCCTAGCTCATGATGAAAATCAGTGCAAATTGAGTAGGCAGTATTAYGCACTGCTTGACAGTTGTTTTTTAGTCTGTTCTTCTAATTATCTGGTTTTCTCTAATATAAATCAGAATGGATTTAGTAAGTTTTGTAAACTGAAATTAAACACTGAAGTAACTCTCCCTTGCCTGTACCCTGGGTTGTTTTCCAAGCACAGCACTCTGGTGACCAAACTAAATCGTGTAACTTTGACTACAGTATAATCCATGCAGAAGGGKTTTTTTTCAATAGTATCAAACTGAAACTGTTGGGTTTGGTTGCTCCAAACCTGTGTGACTCCAGTGGCTCATGGGTTGCATGTGCTGCAAAGGCCTTTGCTGCAAGGCACCRACCCTACAACAATACTGGTAACACTTTACCTCAGAACTCTGTAACATGCTGGAAATGATAATATTTCTGTTCTATTTAAGTACTAGTTGTTTTACTTCAAAATTAATCCATCAGCAAGTCTGAGTAATGTTCAGGTTATGGGCACTCATTAATTCTGTGGACTGATGTTAATCACACCTGTCCATCACCAGTCTCATGAGCACTRCTGAGGATTATTATCAGAAAACTGACAGCTGGGACAGTGGTGTAAGAATGGAAACAAGGAATTGCAGCTCTGTTCCACCTTGGATTGCCATTCTGGTTAGGGTGACGTGCCAGTGATTGTGGGAGCTCTTCTAGCTTAGTACAAAATCTACTTTGAGGGGAAAAAAAGAGAAACTAATTCTAGGCTCTGTAACTCATTGGGTTCTTTAAGGCCAATTTGTTTTTCCTCTGATCCTGAGATTTACTGTAACTGTTTGGAGGGTTTTTGTTCAATAGCTGCACTCTAAATAACAGACTTAATACTCAATTTTTCAATGCCCATATATGCTTATATTTTTCTTCAGGTATTGCAAAAGAAACATAATGAACAGTGTGTCCTTAGAGTAACACTGTTCTGAAGTATTTTTGCCAACTGCAGTTAATGAAAGCCCATATATTTGTATGTTTCCAATCAGGAATTAAGATACCAAAAGAACATTTTTCTGGAAGTTTTATTATGCAAATCTTGCCTTTTTAATACGAAAGAGTTAAATTGAATTAACTAGCAAATACCCTGCAAACTTTGTAGATGTGGTTTTGGTAAGACTGTATAAATTGTGAATATTTGTACACTTTTGAAAGAGCAAAATAAAGAAACTAGAGGAGTCTTAATAGCTGCTGTTACATTAGAATCCCAAATTCTTGTTAAGCAGTTTTTCTTAGTTGAMTGATACATTAATGCAACTGTTTTCCACCCTTCAGTTTGAAGCTGAAATGTGATTTTGTTTCATAGATAGAAAGGAGTATCTTTGCATTTGGAAGAAATAGACATTTCAACTTGTCAGGCTCTTAAAGGCAGATAGGTAGAACCTCTGTTCATGAACATGTAGATGAAATCCTTTTGTGGCCTTTGTTTATCCTCTTCTATTTGTTCCCTCCCTTCTCCCCGATGCGTGCAAAAAAATCATTGCTCAGAATGTTGGTCACAATCTATTGTCTCTCCTTGGCTGTGGTTTTGGTCTCTCGTGCATAGGCAGGTGTTAGAACTAGAATAATCATTTCTAGAAATACACCATGAAARCAGAATGCTCAATTACACTGTGTTCTTCTGGTGCATTTACACCTTATATCACACTAAAAAGTACAACTGGCTGCTATGGTTTTTTAATATATATTTCATTTTGGTAAGCCCCAGCCTTTTTACTAATATATGACCTGGTTAAATCTTGTTAATCTGTTTGAATTGTATTTGTTAATAATGCAAATATTTCTAATCATCTTTAAGAGTAAAACACTTCCTTTTTGTTAATGGTTTTGGGGAAGGATTCTAACCAAACCTGTTTGAAGAAAAATATGAACATGTGCCATTGTATTATAACACTATCCACTTTCTTGACAGTTAAARTCCTTTTTTATTTTTTTGTAGCATGTAATGTATATGTTCATAGTACGTGAAGTAAATAAAAGTATAGCCAAAACTTTGACTCGGAGTCATTCTCAATCAGTTCTTGGTGTATTTGCAATTAATAATTAAAAATAGAGGAGGTATGGCCATTTTTGATTTGCCATATTAGTAGGAAAACAATTAAAAACAAAACTTAYAGAAGTAAGATAAATGAAGGTAACTAAATTAACTTATCAATCAATAAAAGATTGGTTTTTTTTAATAAGGTGGCTTTCTGTAATTAAATGAGTCTATGGGTTGGGGAAAAAGTATATTCTCATTTCAAAAAATGACTTGTGAGGAGTGTTGAGATTTTGAAACTCTACGTCTCAATCTACCTGCCCAAGCATACAAAGGGACAGTGGCCTTTAGGCTCCAAGGATAACAATCTTGTTGAGTCTCCAAACAGTACAGATTATTCTATTAGCTCCAGATGGAAAAACCCTTAAATTTTCATAGGTAGAAACCCCCAGCTTTGCTTCAGTGCTCACACAGCTTGGCTGCAGCAGAGCTGCAATCCAAAAATGCCTTTTAATGAGATTAGCTGAGATAATTTCAGAACTCCCTGCAGCCAAAAAGAAGAGGCYGTGTCTGCCCTTCCCCATGCCCTTCCAGCCCTCCCCTCGTGCTTCACCTTGCCCTGGTGTTTGCAGAGCTGCCCCGAGCTGATGGCACATAGGGCTCCTGCAGAAAACTGCTTTTCCTTTGCYGTCCCCTCTCCTTCCAGCTTTGGGTTTTGGCTGCAGCAGTGCTTGAATCAATYCATGTGAAAGTTGAGGGGGCAAGGGGCAAGCAAGGATTGCATCAGCAAATGGTRCTGTGAGTATTTCCCTGGATTAGGCTGTTTATTCCTCGTGCTTTGCCAAATCCCTGACCAATTTCCAAATATCTGAATGCCATCTGTAACGAGTGCATTCAAAAGAATTYGAAGTATTTAGACAATATGCTATTATTCAGCAAGGGTACCAAGAAGGCATCTCACTTTTAAAAATTAAATCTGCTTGAAGTGTCCTGATTTATTTATATTATTGAACTCTTTACAACTTAAGTGACTGCTGAACATGAGGATCACAGAAAAAGTCCTAAATTGGCYCAAATCTAATTTATTCTGCAGAGCTCCCTAAGTCTCTGCTGAAAAACAGACTTCTATGGTCAATAAAGTGCCAAAGTGATTTGCAAGTCTTACAGATTTGCACAGAGATGGTGACTGTGCACAGCTGGGACCTTTGTTGGTATCACGTATTTACCAACAATTCAGAAGTAAAGGTTTACAATGATTCCCAATTTCAGAAAAATCAGCATTTTTAATAATATTTCAAATAAATGGAAAAAAGCAATTTTTTTCTTCTGGACTTGATCCCTCATTTTCACCTTAGTCAAGACATGCTGAGGTGTTTTTTTCCTTTATGGAACTCTGATTAGATGATCCTGATCTGTGAAAAGGAGGGCCTAAATGTCCCATGGAAACAGACAACTGATTTTCTGAGCAGGCAAACAGTGATATAAAAATAATTCTGTCAGATTTTTRGATTCATTGGTAAGAAAACCACAAGGTTATGTTAATTTTGCATCCCCTAAAACTCTTGTTCATCAACTGAAAAAAAAAGGCAAACAATAAACTACTGAAAAAATTTGCATTAAATGATGGTTTAGGTCTGTGCCCTGAGTCAGCCATCAGGAGCCCATTTCAGGGGACACAGCACAATAAAGAGGGAGATACCTGACATTATGTCCAGAAGGTGCCAGGGTCAGCTCTCTCTCCTATCAAAACCTGCCAAGATTTCTGTGCACTTCTCCCATCAGGAGGGCTCAGCATCCTCAGCCTGCACTTCCAAGGAATCACTGGGAAAAAGAGAGAAGACTTAAATCACAGCCACCCTGAGCAGAATCAAGGAATAGTTTGAGTTGGAAGGGACCTTAGAGCTCACCTCATTCCAATTCCTCTGCCATGGGCARGGACATCTTCCACTAGACCGGGTTGCTCTGAACATCCAGCCTGGCCTTGAACACTTCCACTTTGGAGATCAAGTTCACACTAACCATGCACCATCCTTTAGTTTTCGAAACCCATTCTGATTTCAGAAATCGAGGCATTGTCTCACCTATTTAAATGTACGCTCCTTTTGTTTTCCAGAAGTACTCTGTGAGGAACCCGTGAAACATTCAATGTTAATGTCTAGTTTTTTCTAGCCTCTTGTAACTGTGAAATAATCATATCCTATGCACTGGAGGTGATAGTTTGAGCAAACAGTCAGGAGAGGCTGCAGAAAGCTGTATCTGACCGTCTGCATTTCGGTCACAGATCCACCCTTTTCTGTGGAGCAYACCCGGCGATTTGTACCACAATACCGAGAGGGTAATTCAAACAGTGTGTCAGCGTTTGAGGGCAGCACAGACACGGAGAGAACGAGCCGCACTGAGGGAAACGCCACCGGCGACCGGGCCCGCTCGCCCACAACCATGTCCCGGTCACGGCCCCGCCACAACCGGGCGGTGGGGGGAACGGAATTAATCCCCGCTATTCCCGGGCCGCCTCATCCCTCACCCCGCCTCACCCCTCATCCCGCCTCACCCCTCATCCCGCCTCATCCCGCTTCACCCCTTACACCGCCTCACATCCCTCATCCTGCCTCACACCCCTCATCCCGTCTCAYTCCGCTTTATTCCTCATCCCGCCTCACCCCTCACACCGCCTCACATCCCTCATCCTGCCTCACACCCCTCATCATGCCTCACGCCCCTCATCCCGCCTCACACCCCTCATCCTGCCTCACGCCCCTCATCCCGTCTCATTCCGCTTTATTCCTCATCCCCTCACACCGCCTCACCCCGCCCCCCGCCGGTTGCCAGGGTGCCGCCGTTGCCATGGGAGGCGGCGGGGCGCATGCGCGCGTCCGCGGGAGTGCCCGGATGCAGCGGGAGGAGGCGCTGCCGCCATATTTGCCCGGAGAGCAGCGAGCTGGTAGCTGCYGAGCCCCCCGGACCCATCGGCTGCCATCCGCCCCGCGCAGTCCCCGCCGCCGCCCCGCCCGCAGGACATGGACGATCGGGAGGACCTCGTCTATCAGGCCAAGTTGGCTGAGCAGGCTGAGCGCTACGATGGTGAGCGCGGGCTCGGGAGGCCGTGCACGGCCAAGGGGAGAGGGAGGGAGGGAGCGGCCACAAAATGGCGGCTGGGCGGGGGAGGGGGGCAGGGGCGGAGGAGGGGGCGCACACAAAATGGCGACGGGGAGCGCCCTGAGGGGCCGCTGGAAGCGGGGATGGGGGGCCAGGGCGAGGGGGTGTCTCGGGTCGGGGCGGGGCCCGGGGCGGGGGGCGGTGGCGGCAGGAGCCGGGAATAAAATGGCGGCCGCGAAGGGCGAGTCCTGGGGGGGGTAAGGGAGCCGCCCCCGCCTCGGGGGGCCCCACAAAGAGACCCCGCTGTCCCTCACGGCTCCTCGGGCTCCGGCCGGCCCGCGATCCCCCGGCTGGGCGGTGCGGGGCGAGGGCGGCTCGCCGCAGACAACGCCCRTGCCGAGCGCTCCGGAGGGGGGGCCCGGCCCTCGGCCCCTCGCCGGCCGTGCTCGTGGGGGTCCCCGGGGACGGGGCTGCGCTTCTTTCTCTGCCTCTACCCCCGGCTGGAGATCCTGCTGCCCCCGGCAAAGCCAGAGCGAGCGAGTTCTCACCCTGCAGGGAGCGAGTACATGATTCACTGCCTAAAGAAAACGCRTATGCTTTCATTATGTGGTAGCAATCATTACGGATCGTTTTACTTTCCCAGCGTCTTCTTCTCATTCTTTCTCCCCTTTCAGTTTGTGTGCTATCCCTGATCGTTTAATATCCGTGATGATTTAATATCTGGGGGAAAAGTGGTAGAGGGGAGGAACTGGCAACCCTGGGTGGTGTCTCTTGCCCCAAAAATGTCTGTCTAGCAACTGTTCCTTTTAAACATGGTTCCTTTGCATATAATAGAAAGGGCTTTTAATTTTCTCGACTCTTCTGAGACTGTTACTTTGCCCTGAGAGCTGTGATTATTCATTTGAAGCGAAATAAATATATGTATGTAGAATGTGTGAATGTAATTGCACTTCATTTAGAGATAAGAACACACTCCAGATACTTTCTGTTCATAAATTTTTATAGACAMCATGACCAACTTCCCACCAAATAACAAATATTTACTGAGTCGTGCTTAAAAAAACATCTGATGGCACCATTGCAGAACAACTGAAAAAGACACGTTTTGGGAAGAAAAAGAGAAACTAAAACAAAAAGAACGCCTAAATAAGACTCCATTCAGTTAGAGTTCTGATAGGAAATWAATTTAGAATTAATAGCACCTTTAAAGGAGAGTAGTTAGGCAGTCTCCACTGAGGGSCTTACAGAAAAAATTGACCCAAAAAAAACCAAGTGTTGGGGCACAATAATTAATTCTAACAGAGGGAGAAATTCATATTCCACAGTAAGTGTGCAGCTTCTGCTGAGGAGGGAAGGGTTCTCCACCTGGCGTGGATGAGTCAGTGCAACTGAAAGTGTTGCCTTTGGTTTGGGTGGAAACTCAACATCCTGGAGGAATCATCATCCTTGGGCACTTTTGAGGCATGACTGTCTTTCTGGGGTTTTCTTAAGTCAGCACCAAATCACTTCTTTAGAAGGTAATAGGACTCTACCCCATGACACGGATCTGCAATGCAAACTTCCTGTCAACTAATAAAAATTGATTAGGAGGGATTATTGCCTTGGTGCAGCATTTCCCTGGGTGCACTTCTAGTTCTCCCAGTACCATGAATGTTTGCTAAACAAGCTGCCCAGAACAAAATGTAGAAGACTTGTTGTACTGTATTGCTTCTGAATGGGCACAAGGCTTGTTACAATKTAGGAGGGAGCACTGAAATTAAAATTGTCTTGTTTAAATCAGTGSTGTGGGGTTTAGAGTTCACAGTTAATAGGAATCAAGTTGGGTGAACATATTTAAGATGCACCCTCTAATTCTGTCAGCTGCTCTGAATGCATTTTCACATTTCTCGTGTCCATGGCCTGGAAGAAAATGTACTGTAGATACTGTTTTATCATTTACTTCTGTGTTCTTGTTCAGATGAAACAATTAAAAATGATTGGCATCATTTGTTCTTGTTTATATGAAATAATGCAGTTCTGCCAAGATAATAGCTGAGACGGCTGAATAATTCTGTGAACAAAGTGATTTGAGAAGCAATATGAGGAAAGTGAGCTACTCCTAATTTTGCTCCTCAGTTTGATTTTTGGGGTGCACAATTATAAGGCCACAGTTATTAATTGGCCCATAAAAATAGGGTGATGGTAAGTACTGGCTACAGATACATTGCAATACAAGTCCCTTGGGTGATTTGAATATGCGTTTGTCAGTTTTTTTGTGTTTAACATTAGGATAATGTAAAATCCTGTCCCATCTTTCTCCTGGAGACTGTAAGAATGGTGGGTTGCTATTTATGTATGGCTCATGGCATTTATAGCAGCACTTATGGTGGGCATCCAACTGTGGCTTCTTTGGTGTTACTTACCTGACCCACTTAGGGAATTTCTGAAGTCTGTGGAGCTGTATTTGTGAACGGTTGGGAATCTAGTCCTGTGTCTGTACTGTCCTCAGGACGTTGGCCCAGATTAAKAGGACAACTTTCTAGGTACTTTTGCAGTGTAAGTAGCACTTAAACCCTGATCTCCARAGATATTAAGAGATTTGGGTGTCTGACTATCTTCACAGATCTGCTTAGGCATGTTATGGCAAATCACAAAATGCCAGGAAGCTTAYTGGCAGTACAGGAAGCTTTATGAGAAATCTCACTTTCTGCTGTTCCTTACTGGTAGAATAATATAGAGCTCTAAATGGACTCCTTTTTTGGGAAACAATTGGAGTAAGTGATATTGTGGAGCTCTTTGTATCAAGAGGATGTGGAGGATTCCTGTAGACTGCTGCTGGATGTTGAAACCAGTTCATTTGGAAGCTGGGAACATCTTAGTTTTAGGTGAGAAKCACACTATGACTCAAGGTATGCTGTGAACAAGTACTTCAGACAGCTGTTCWGTACTACAAGTCTTGACTGACTTGGGCGAGGTGAAATAGGTGGKGTTTTCCCCCCTCAAAATCAGACAAGAGGTCATGATACAGGTAAGGAAAAAACTCAAACCACCCATGACAGGTTCCTGCCTCCCAGCACAGTAAGCTAACAGCTGGCTCCCTTTGTCTTTATAAATTGTCTACCAGGGAAATGCATCTTCATCACAAAGACAGGAGTGTGTGCAGCAGTGGGTTCAATTCAAGATTTGAACCCATTTTAGAAAAAATTGTCTCCTAGTAACAGATCTTCAGCTTAGAGTCTAATGAASAATCAATAAGTCACAAATTAGAATTCAAGTTGCATATTAATTTTGGTTTGCAGAGGATCTGTCTCTTTCAAGTACACTTCAGTTTTTTGGGTTCTTCCCCCCCTTTCATGGTTATCACTTACCCTGTCTATTAAAGGTCTTACGGTTGTGATGGGGGGTGTGACTGCTGTCTCTGAGGTAAAAGGCAGAAAATTCAACATATCCCTAAGGACTGTAGGAATCCAAAAGTTAAAGTATGGGCAAGACAGTGCTAAAGGAATAAGACTGTACGTTTTTCTAAGTGGGAGTTGTACATACTGGGACATAAATTGACGTGATTATGGGGCGTTGTGTGTGAGAGGGCCTCTGTAATGGTGTTCTTTGGTTTCTTGAGATAGCAGGAGGAAAAAAAGGAGACAAAATCCTACAACAGGATGGTGTGGTCCTCTGCAAGGAGCCCAAGAGCTGAATTGGTGTCCAGTACTTGTATTAGAAGATGACTTAGCAGCAGATCTCAGACAAAGGGAGAAATATGTGATGAGGCCCAAGCTTGAAACGTTTGCTTTCAAATGGAAATGTGTGTTAGAAACAGTGGGGAAAYTCTCTTGATTTAGAAAAGTAAATGTCCACAGATTTGGTGGTGATTATGGTGGTGGAGATTATGGTGGTGACTTAAAAATGATGCTCTTGTGGCAAGAAGGATTTGTGGTAGCCCATACAGTTGGTTTTGCAGAAAATGCCACTGTTGCTTGGATAACTTGGCCCTAACCTGTTTTTCTCCGAGTGTGTAAAGGTRCAGGACTGTTATTGCAGAGTCATGCAGTCACATTTTTGAAGKGTTTTGACTGCCCCAGCTGTTACARACCTTACACAAGGAATAACAGTATAACACTCTGCTTTGTCCATAAAATCATCATCAAACCACTGTGCACATTGGATATTTCTTTTTCCTTCTCTGCCTGTCAGTTGTCTTTACTTCTGGGAATCCACCTGTTAGGTTCTTTCATGCTCATTTGTGTCAAACTTGTACATTGTGGTAAGTGTGGAATGCTTCTCATGTTTGCTTGGGTTCTGGTCTGACCCTTAGAGCTAGTTCAGTTCTCTAAATAAGAAGCAAGATTAATTTTTTTTTCCTCTGAGTAGTTGCCTGAGCTGGTGACCTGAATCAGCCAGTTGAACGGTCAGAGGGGTATTGAGCTGGCAGGAGGGAATTGATAGGGATGGGGGAGAGCCATCCATGTTCTCACCAGCTCCCTGCAAGCTGCAGGATGGGTTCAGCCATCTCTGGAGCTCTCCTTGCCAAACACAGGATTCCCTAGGAGAACAAAAAAACCTAATGCTAGCAGTGTTAAAGTGTGTTTAGAAGAAGAGTTGGATGGAAAGAGGGTGGTGGCTGCTGATGCCAGGTGGAGGTCTGTAGCTTTGGGAAGTGCAGTCTGTGGGCATTAATCTGTAGAGTTTCATTGATCTCTTAGTGAAGAWAATACTCTGGCCTTTATTTTTCAGTTCTTCTTGTGTTTGTTGCTAACAGTTTGCTGCTTCTAAAGTAGTACTTRCTATYCACTTTYGATTCTATGGCTCACTCAGAAATGKTAGCACAGATCCCTGTGTGATTCCACTGGTGGGCTTTCTCYGTTCCTAACATTTGAGTCTTACATTCATACCCTGTTTCCTGTCTTTCAGCCTAGTGTTTATCCATGTGAGGACTTTCCTTCCTATCCCATGGCAGTTGAGTTCCTTAAAGAACCTTGGGTGAGGGACCTTGTCAAATGCCTTTGGGA